TGCTGGCCAAATGCTCGCTTTGTCGCTGCTTGTAAGCCGCTTTTTGTAAAGTTGTGGCCTGCTTTCGGTTGCCTTAGGTGAGTAATCGCGGATGTAGTTGACTGTGTAACCTTGAGGATACCATCGTATGAGCGACGTTGATGGCAGAACTTGCAAATGAAGTAGATCTCATCAGTGTTACTGCGCAGCGCAACTCGATATCCATGGTTGTATATCCAGCTTTTTTGGCGTTTCTGTGAGCGCAGAGGCTTGCAAAAGCGCGACAATCGACACCAATCAATGCCGTCGAAGTTGTCGAGGAAACGCTCATCAAACGAGCTATCGACCTCGCGATTATCGTCGGCGGCGCTGGCTACCGTGGCAGCGTTGGAACCCTCGGTAGGCGGTACAATCGCCTCGTTAGGCACGGCGTTAAGCAGCAACTGGCTCTCGAAAGGGTGCTGTTCGGTGGCCTGGGACGCTGCGTCGGCCAGGGCTTTGCGCGGTGATTGCCGCTGAGGTAGCTTAGGTGCTGATATTATCGACGAGCTTGGCTGAGTATCAGCTAGCTCTAACGGCTGCGTATTAGTGCCTGTACCGCGGGTGACGCGCACGCGTTTGGCGGGCTGTTCAGCAAGTCCTGCGCTACGTTTAGTACCTTTAGCGGCTCGTTGAACAGGCATAGAAGGCAGCAAAAAAACAATAATAACTAAAATAGCTCAAAAAGACTGTGATAATACACGCTGATATAGCAATAGGTGCAGAAGTAGGTAGTAAGTGTTAACGCTACGTGTTGGGGCGCGTAAGCTGACTACGTACCGTACCGTAAGCATAGGCCCACCTACTGCAACACCAAAAATCCTATCGCAGTTTTATTTTCCTGCAACAACAAAGACCTCGTAAGGTGACCCAAGTTATTCAAGTTTACCAAGCAAGTTTGCTAGATAAACTTGACTTGCTTGATGTTTTTATGTAGATGAACTTGACTTGCTTAACTTGGTGCCAAGCAAAGTTAAGCAAGCAAGGCTTGCAAGTTACTTGCTTGTTGCGAACTCTGGTTATTAGGGGTGATCATTTGCGTTGGTGATCATTTGGCGCACGGGCACTGTAGTCTCACTCCTCGCCGCCAACACCTGACCCGCCAACTCCACGAGGCTCTGTCCACGAAGCCTCTCCCTACTGACTGCAAAGTCAAGGCGACGTTCTGGAAGTTTGAGATGCAAGCCCGCACCCCTGACAAGGAGATCCTCCAAAGCTTTCTTGAAAAGGCAGTTGCTGTCCGCCATGTGAAATCCATTGAGTAGTTCTTGGACTTGGAGTCGCTCGGTGCTGGTATCAAATTTACTACTGGAACGATGAGGGTCCTGTCTGGTGCTATCGTCGATGTAGCGGCTTATGCCTGCGCAGAAGGCCAGGCTGAGTAGATTTGGCGAGACGGTGCTCAGTAGGTAAGATAAGCTGGTTGTGTAGCGTCTGGCACCAACGAAGGCAGGTTTCCACACTCCCTCGTGCAAGTCTAGCGTTGTTGCTATGTATTTGGCGTAGTAGAGGAGATCAACCTCAAGATGGCGGACCAGAGGGAGGTCGATGAGTTGTAGTGGAGGTTCGAAGGCACCTGAGCCTTCTTCTTCGATCTCCTCTACACCATTTCGGTTGGAATTACGGGTTAGTGGAGTTGGCGGGGTGGGAGTAATGTGAAAAGTGTTCTCGCCAAAGAACACGGAGCAGGCCTCATTGTGAATTTGCTTATTGGATCGAAGAATGGCCGTATGGATATCGTATTTCGCACCTTGACGAGCAACGGAGCCTTTAATGGATGAGGGGGCAACGAGGAGGTGTCTGTAGATGTGCAGACGGAGCTCTAGGGAGAGGGTATCGATGAAAGGTGAACGTGTTGTTTTCATCATGACAGGTAGATAGCTTCCGAATCAATTGGGTGTATCCGTCGAGCTACAGCGAGTCGAGAGGCTGGTCAAGTGGATAACATATGCGATCACCCCGATATGCCAGGGACAAACTCCGGTAGTAAATCCGGTAATGCATCTATGGCGTGTCTCTAGAAATATTAAAAAGGAAGTCCACTGGATGGAGAATGGACGGTCCAAGGATGTAGTCTTGCACCGGCTGCGCTAGATTTCCAAGCTTTTCCTAGAGTGCTCCCACGGCCGAGCGCCGGGGAGCC